TTTCTTTATTTTATAAAAGCACAACGTTTTGTTGATATTGTGAGTGCACACAAATAAAAGTAGACCCTTTACAGTTCTGAATGATGTATTACTCTTACCTTTATGAGTAAAAATGACGGCGTATCCACTGAAAAAAAACGCAAGTGATCGCGCTGGCGCCTCCATGTCGTGCAAAGCGCGCTTCAGCTTCCACTCTCCGCGCAAACTATTGGATACAGCGCACATTTATCTAGGTTTAATGTTTAAACATTGTTATATGCTTGAACTGTTTTATATCTATAGATTTTATTTTAGTCAAGTCGTGATGATTTGAGAAGGCTAAATTGATCAAACATAGGCTCACTGTCTGCCGCTGGCCGCTTGGTCGTTACTTTAAATGCGTAACGTTAATTAGGCTATGTGAGTACTGCTCATGTCTGAAAATAATATATGAAAAACAAAATTATTTTACATAAAAACATTAGGCTATAGCTTATATTTATTCAGTACATTTTTAAATTAATGTAAAAACTAAAATGAATTGTAAAACTGAAAGTATTTTTTTTAAATGGTGTTCAGCACGGTGGGCCGCATTTGAATTCGTGACGGGCCGCATGCGGGCCGCGGGTTGAGAACCACTGCCCTAAAGCATCATATCATATTGTGGAAAATAGGCATCCAATGACCCCTTTAATTACTAGCATTTGTTCTTTTTTAAATAGCATTGCTCATTTAATTGGGAAATAACAAAAGTGTTTTGGACTTTTAATGCTGGTTTTTGACTGTTGACTTGAAATGACATTGAAGAGCTGTGCAATTTTTTTTATTTTTTGACTTTTTATCCATGGCTTGTCATTTTCTTAAAAGGTTACTGAAACATAGGAAATCACCCTGGCTTGTGCAGTATTTGGCTATCAAATGTTTGTGGTCATATTTTCACAGCTTTTTGAATCTTCATGAAACTATGCAAAGCAAAAACTAAATGGAACCTTTTGTCACTCCGAAAATTTGTCATCTGAAAATGGAATAAAATATATATTTCAGATATTTAAAGAGTGTTGTTTTTTTTTGTGTGTAACTTGTTATGGTAATAAAGTATAGGTAGATTTTTGTAGATGGCGTCAAGCAGCCACTAGAGGTCTTCCTTTATGTTATTGTACAACTACTGTACAATACTGTATATATCATGACACTGCTGTGAGGACAATCAGTTGTGACTTATTTAGTCAAGAGAAAAATGTGTTTTTATGTACAGCATTTTTATATTAATTAATTATGTTAATATAGCAGCAATATGTATGGCTCTTGGCTTATGTGTGTGTGTGTGTGTGTGTGAAATGCTGCCATTCAAAATTTGTTAAATTGTTTTTGAATCTCTTCTGCTCACCAAGGCTGCATTTATTTGATTAAAAATACAATACAAACAGTAATATTGTGAAATATTATTACAATTTAACATAACTGTTTTCTATTTTAATATATATTAAATTGTAATTTATTCTTGTGATGCAAAGCTAAATTTTCAGCATCATTACTCCAGTCTTGAGTGTCACGTGATCCTTCAGAAATCATTCTAATATACAGATTTGGTTATTATCAATTCTTAAATATGATCATTTCTTATTATTATCAATGTTGAATACAGTTGGGGCACAGGCTATTTTTATTTATATTTTTTCAGGATTTTTTTATTGAATATAAAACAACGCCAAAATAACGGCATTCATTTTGAAATAGAATTTCTTTAGTTTTTAAAAGTCTTTAGTCAATTTTGATACATTTTAAAATTCAGTTTGCTAAATAAAAAAAGACATTTAATAGACCTATGGTCATATGTATAGTTTTATTAAATTATTTGACATAATTAAAAAAAAATATTTACTATCATTGATCAATTGTATGCATTCTTGCTGAATAAAACTGTTAATTTCTTAAAAAGTAATACATTTAATGACCCAAAACTTTTAAATGGTGATGTGTGTGTATATATAAAACTTATTAGAACATTTCAATGTGCCTAATCTAATATGACGTACCACAAATACTTATCTGCTTAACTGTTGTGTGGGGAAAAAACCCGGCAGTTTAGTGTGCGACTCTTACTGTACAGTCCTGATGTCAGTAATCATGTGTAAATGAGTGTTCAGGGAGGCTACGGCTCTATATTTAGAGAGAACTTACTGGAATGGTTTACCCATAACCCTCCCAAACTGAACTGCCAGCTGATTATGAAGCCTGACCGGCAGGAACTAGGGCCTGAGAGCGAGTGACCCAATTAAACGTGTTACTTACTGTACACCACATCTGCCATTCCACTAAAAATCACTTAAACACCAAGATAATGAGCAAAAATGGTGATGTTAGTAAGGAAATACCACTAAAGCCAGTTTGGATTTTCACACCAGTGCTGTGAGAGGTCAGTGATTCGTGACTCAGGTTTTAACAGGAAGGAGTGAAATATGATTCATCATATTTCTGTAAAGGACCCGAGCGACACTGAGCTGGTGTAGGTGACACTGAACTCCTCCCTAGTGCTCCTGCGCCGCGTGGAGGCTATTTTTGGCCCTCCTGTGACAGTCAGAGCGGCTCTCACTGACAGCTGACCGCAGGGGCCAAATCAAAACAAGCACCGCACCTTGTGAAATATTATTACAATTTAACATAACTGTTTTCTATTTTAATATATATTAAATTGTAATTTATTCTTGTGATGCAAAGCTAAATTTTCAGCATCATTACTCCAGTCTTGAGTGTCACGTGATCCTTCAGAAATCATTCTAATATACAGATTTGGTTATTATCAATTCTTAAATATGATCATTTCTTATTATTATCAATGTTGAATACAGTTGGGGCACAGGCTATTTTTATTTATATTTTTTCAGGATTTTTTTATTGAATATAAAACAACGCCAAAATAACGGCATTCATTTTGAAATAGAATTTCTTTAGTTTTTAAAAGTCTTTAGTCAATTTTGATACATTTTAAAATTCAGTTTGCTAAATAAAAAAAGACATTTAATAGACCTATGGTCATATGTATAGTTTTATTAAATTATTTGACATAATTAAAAAAAAATATTTACTATCATTGATCAATTGTATGCATTCTTGCTGAATAAAACTGTTAATTTCTTAAAAAGTAATACATTTAATGACCCAAAACTTTTAAATGGTGATGTGTGTGTATATATAAAACTTATTAGAACATTTCAATGTGCCTAATCTAATATGACGTACCACAAATACTTATCTGCTTAACTGTTGTGTGGGGAAAAAACCCGGCAGTTTAGTGTGCGACTCTTACTGTACAGTCCTGATGTCAGTAATCATGTGTAAATGAGTGTTCAGGGAGGCTACGGCTCTATATTTAGAGAGAACTTACTGGAATGGTTTACCCATAACCCTCCCAAACTGAACTGCCAGCTGATTATGAAGCCTGACCGGCAGGAACTAGGGCCTGAGAGCGAGTGACCCAATTAAACGTGTTACTTACTGTACACCACATCTGCCATTCCACTAAAAATCACTTAAACACCAAGATAATGAGCAAAAATGGTGATGTTAGTAAGGAAATACCACTAAAGCCAGTTTGGATTTTCACACCAGTGCTGTGAGAGGTCAGTGATTCGTGACTCAGGTTTTAACAGGAAGGAGTGAAATATGATTCATCATATTTCTGTAAAGGACCCGAGCGACACTGAGCTGGTGTAGGTGACACTGAACTCCTCCCTAGTGCTCCTGCGCCGCGTGGAGGCTATTTTTGGCCCTCCTGTGACAGTCAGAGCGGCTCTCACTGACAGCTGACCGCAGGGGCCAAATCAAAACAAGCACCGCACCTCCACCGACCTGTTACAGCGCATACAGAAGAAAGAAATAGAATTATCATTTTTAGGTTAAACTATCCACCTACACTTTAAAAAAAGAAATGTTCCAAAAGCAAATGCCATAAAATAACTCAAATTAACATTTTAATGATTTAAACCACCTTTTTCCATTATAAAGAACCTTTTGTGCAATGGAAAGATTCTATGCATGTTAAAGGTTCTTCATGGAACCATAGATTCCATTAAAGAACCTTTATTTTCAAGAGTTTTGCATGGACAAAACTCTTGAAACATCAGCAAGAACTCGACATTCCGTCTGAGCCAATCAAGCGTTGACCATTTGAAAACTAACCTCTATGCATTTTATCCCAGCATAGTTATGTGCTAAACACATTCATTTTAGGTGGCGAGGGTGGTGTCTAACTCATAGTTGTGTTGACAGGTACAGTACGACCCAAACCCCTTTGCTGTGGGCTCATGGGGCAGATAATGGAATTTCCATGCATAATTCAGCTTAAGCGTGGATCTGATGTCCGGCTCAGGTTACTGGCCCAGTTTAAGGACACTATTGGATAGCTTGATCGCCTAATTTCAGATGTGGAAATTTGGCACTGAATCCCCATCGGTTCTTTTTGTTGTCTGCTATTGTATTGAAGATTACAAATCATGCACGGAATGGCGAATGACTTTCAGGGGTTTCATAATTTCACTTTTGCCCTAATGACACTAACATGCATGTCTGGGGTTTTGGCTTTTTTAGAAAATGCATGTTTTCTATTTTAATATACTTTCAAATAGAATTTATTCCTGTGATGCGCAGCTGAATTTTCAGCATCATTCCTCCAGTCTTCAGTGTCACATGAGCCTTCAGAAATCATTCTAATATGCTGATTTATTTTCAGTGTTGGAAACAGTTTTTGCTGCTTGATATTTTTTTTGGAACCTGTGATCCTAACATTTTCTAACATTTAATGACTGTAATAAGTTGAATAATTGTACAATTATTTTACAATTATTCAACAGTATTTTGTATATACTCACACATAAATGTTATATAATTTTCTTGAAATATTTCTTTAAATATGTTGAATACACATGAATAATCTTATATAATATTTAATTTATTCATAATATTTGCAAGACCTTGCCTACACTAAAAAACTAAAATACTGTGGTGGTACAATGGTATTGTACTTATATGATGTGATGTATTGAGTTTAATACTGATTTATCAGTTTGTGTTTCTCAGGCTGGCAGTGATGGAGAAAGTATTGGAAACTGTCCTTTTTCTCAAAGGCTTTTTATGATCCTGTGGCTGAAGGGAGTCGTGTTCAAGGTCACCACTGTCGACCTGAAAAGGTAACGAATTGTTCTTAATATGCATTGCTGTTAGAAACCACATGGATCAAAATTTTGTGGCTTTCATTTAAAGTCTGTTAGCTTTAGATAGATGTCCCACCCAAATGTCCTGTTTCAACTAGAAATACATTAACAAAGCAAAGTAACCCATGCTTATCAAGCATTTTCATTGGCTTTAATTGGCTGTGTTATGTAATGATCAAACTCAGATGTGAATGTGAATTTTTCTTCAAGGAAACCAGCTGATCTCCATAATCTGGCTCCCGGTACTCCTCCACCATTCCTTACCTTCAGTGGCGAAGTGTGGACAGATGTCAACAAAGTCGAGGAATTCTTGGAAGAGATGCTAGCGCCTCCCAAGTAGGTTGACAGGATGTTCACAGATGGATTGATTGTTTATGTAATGTGAACAGCAAAATTTTTCATTCACGTCCTAAGATATCCAAAACTGGCTGTGAAGAACAAGGAGTCCAACACGGCGGGAAATGACATCTTCGCAAAGTTCTCAGCCTACATCAAGAACACAAATACAGGAGCCAACGCAAGTGAGTTTAACGTCTGCTCTATGACTTATTAGACAGGTTCAAGGAATATCTACAGCTCTTTATGGATGCTCTGTTGTCAACGGCAAAATATGGAGCCACATGTTATCCAGAGCTCATTCACATTCCACTAGGCCTTTACAGGGATTGTCTTGACTTAAAGCCGCTGTATTTCTTCAGATGAAAACATTCAGCACAAGCACATATCAAACTTTTGGCTGTGCAGGTCTGGAGAAGGGGCTACTGAAAGCTCTGAAGAAACTGGACAACTTCCTGAACTCCCCTCTACCGGACGAGATTGATGCCGATAGTACGGAGGAGGAGAAGTGCTCCAACCGCAAGTACTTGGACGGCAATGAATTAACGCTCGCAGACTGCAACCTCCTCCCAAAACTGCACGTAGTGAAGGTGACATACTGCTGGGAGATCTGCTGTAATTGATCATTTAGTGCAAGATAAAATAGTGGTGATTCCTGAAAGGAAAAGTTCCAAAAACGTTCCTAATGTTCCAAAAACGTTCTTTTTATTGCAGTGAATGTTTCTCGGGGTGGATTTACTTTTTAAAGTCAGTTTTTGCGCAGACACACACCTTTCCAGCTAACAGGGAACGTTCTTACAACTTTCAATGTTTTGTCAAAATTATATATATGTTAGGATAAAATGTTCTTATAGTAATGTTAATGGAACATTCTTATAACATTATTAATAGGCTATTTAATATCCGTTCTCATAATGTTAAGAGAAAATGTGATTAGATAATAAAAATAAATGTTATATTTAGGGTGAACAAGTTAATAGAATCTTGTAAGAAATGTTTTCAATAATGTTTTAATTATGATACGAAAATTAGACTTTTTAAAGGGGTCATATGATGTTGCTAAAACGAACATTATTTTGATATTCCTTTAAGTTTCAAAAAACACATTATTTTCCGCATACTGTACATTATTGTTTCTCCTCTATGCCCCGCCTTTCTGAAACGCGCTGATTTTTACAAAGCTCATCCTCTGAAAAGCGAGGTGTGCTCTGATTGGCCAGCTATCCAGAGCGTTGTGATTGGCCGAATACCTCAAGCGTGTGACGGAAATGCGAATATTAAAAAAAGAATGTTTTTGTAACTTTTGAATAACATTAGAATCGTGACAAGAAAATTTTAATTTTCACATTTTAGGAACATTTCAAAAGGTTTTCAATGTTTTTATAACCTAAATGTATCATCTGGGTCAAAGTCTTTTGGACATTCCTGATTCCTGAAATGTTTAAAAACAGTCCCTTTAATTGCAGTTAATAATTCTCAGGGTAGGTTTACATTTTAAAGTAAATTTTAAAGTCTTTTGAACAATCTCACCTCTTCTGGCCAGGAAAAAAACAAAACAGAGGGGCATGTTGTCACATCATGGGGTAAGTTGTCGAAACAGGATCCTGCAGTTTTTTGACACTGATTTGAGAAGAAAACATTTTCTGAAATATGAAATATTACCTAAATTAAAATAAAAAGTAATCTTCCACATCATACCTGCATTTAAAATGTATTTAAATGGATTTATATATTTATCAAATTAATCGATAAATCAAAACAAATGAAACAGCAAATTGCAATAAATCCTTGCATCATGCATTTACGTTTTTGCTTTTTGACGAATTGCTATTCGCAGTTAATGAATTGCATAAAAATACAACATATAATACACATGTGATAACTTGCCCCAACCTAACATTTATTAAAATACTCTTAGGATGATCTGTTTAGATTATAAATGGGCAGATTCAGTTGTTTCATTTCATCATTATTTTTCATCCCACATTCAGGTGGTTTGTAATTACAACATTTCAGCACAGACACACACCTTTTGAACATTCCTACCAGTATTGCCTGTAGGAAAACATACATCGGGGCATTTTGTCACACTATGTATTAAAATTGGGGCAAAGGGACCACAAAGGGACCCTAGAGTTTATTGACACTAATTTGAGTGTTGAATTCTACCTAAACTATAAGAAAAAGTCATCTTCCACATCATATATGCATTTAAAATGTATTAGCGTAAAATGAAAAACATATAAGCCACATGTAACAACTTGCTCCAACTTGCTAAAATCCTTACAGGATGATTGGTTTGGATCATAAACTAGCATCATGTTTCTTATTCAGGTGGTTTCTAAGAAATACCGTAACTTTGAGATCCCATCAGAGTTGAGTGGGGTTTGGAGGTACCTGCAGAACGCCTATGCCCAGGATGAATTCACCAACACCTGTGCGGCAGACAGAGAGATTGAACTGGCCTATCAGGACGTAGCCAAGCGGCTGGGCAAATGAAAATGCACTAATCAGTGACTAATAATCATATGCAGAACTGCTAAAGTGGTGACCTTTCTCTTGGTGTCAATGTCTCATTTTCCTTCAGCAGTTATTGAGCAGAATTTGCCTTCTGGACATTGACTCGGTCCTGTAATACTCATGCTTGTGTGTAGGCCTTCCCATTGCCATTATGTTTACTGTCTGTCTGTAGTGACATAAACTCCTCTATTAGTGTCGCTATCTATGACGGTCTAGAAAAGAAAAAAACACTGTGCCACAGTAAAATGAGCCTCATTCTGCAGTTGAATTTATACATCATTATACACTTTATACATCAAACAAAACCATCAAACAAAATAAGCACATGTTTAGGTCTCAGGTATCTCTAGCCCTGTCTGGAATTTTCATATATTTGAAATGAACAACAATACTGTGTCTTATTAATAAAATATATTTTTTTCATAAAGCTTGTAATGTTTCGCTTGTGTTTAATCATGTGTCATACTGCAAGACGAATATTTCAAGTTAGAAAAACTCACCTCATCTTGTCGATTAGCACAGATAATCGACTCATCCCAAAGTTCCGATGACATTAAGGGCAGAAAATTGCATTTTTGTTTAAGCACTTACATTAATTCTTCCATACAAAATGTGTGTTATGTAAAGTTGCCGAAATCGTCACTGTAGCTGCGGAACTAGTTTTCTGGGCGGAAAGAAGAAAACATTTTCTGAAATATGAAATATTACCTAAATTAAAATAAAAAGTAATCTTCCACATCATACCTGCATTTAAAATGTATTTAAATGGATTTATATATTTATCAAATTAATCGATAAATCAAAACAAATGAAACAGCAAATTGCAATAAATCCTTGCATCATGCATTTACGTTTTTGCTTTTTGACGAATTGCTGTTCGCAGTTAATGAATTGCATAAAAATACAACATATAATACACATGTGATAACTTGCCCCAACCTAACATTTATTAAAATACTCTTAGGATGATTTGTTTAGATTATAAATGGGCAGATTCAGTTGTTTCATTTCATCATTATTTTTCATCCCACATTCAGGTGGTTTGTAATTACAACATTTCAGCACAGACACACACCTTTTGAACATTCCTACCAGTATTGCCTGTAGGAAAACATACATCGGGGCATTTTGTCACACTATGTATTAAAATTGGGGCAAAGGGACCACAAAGGGACCCTAGAGTTTATTGACACTAATTTGAGTGTTGAATTCTACCTAAACTATAAGAAAAAGTCATCTTCCACATCATATATGCATTTAAAATGTATTAGCGTAAAATGAAAAACATATAAGCCACATGTAACAACTTGCTCCAACTTGCTAAAATCCTTACAGGATGATTGGTTTGGATCATAAACTAGCATCATGTTTCTTATTCAGGTGGTTTCTAAGAAATACCGTAACTTTGAGATCCCATCAGAGTTGAGTGGGGTTTGGAGGTACCTGCAGAACGCCTATGCCCAGGATGAATTCACCAACACCTGTGCGGCAGACAGAGAGATTGAACTGGCCTATCAGGACGTAGCCAAGCGGCTGGGCAAATGAAAATGCACTAATCAGTGACTAATAATCATATGCAGAACTGCTAAAGTGGTGACCTTTCTCTTGGTGTCAATGTCTCATTTTCCTTCAGCAGTTATTGAGCAGAATTTGCCTTCTGGACATTGACTCGGTCCTGTAATACTCATGCTTGTGTGTAGGCCTTCCCATTGCCATTATGTTTACTGTCTGTCTGTAGTGACATAAACTCCTCTATTAGTGTCGCTATCTATGACGGTCTAGAAAAGAAAAAAACACTGTGCCACAGTAAAATGAGCCTCATTCTGCAGTTGAATTTATACATCATTATACACTTTATACATCAAACAAAACCATCAAACAAAATAAGCACATGTTTAGGTCTCAGGTATCTCTAGCCCTGTCTGGAATTTTCATATATTTGAAATGAACAACAATACTGTGTCTTATTAATAAAATATATTTTTTTCATAAAGCTTGTAATGTTTCGCTTGTGTTTAATCATGTGTCATACTGCAAGACGAATATTTCAAGTTAGAAAAACTCACCTCATCTTGTCGATTAGCACAGATAATCGACTCATCCCAAAGTTCCGATGACATTAAGGGCAGAAAATTGCATTTTTGTTTAAGCACTTACATTAATTCTTCCATACAAAATGTGTGTTATGTAAAGTTGCCGAAATCGTCACTGTAGCTGCGGAACTAGTTTTCTGGGCGGAAACTCACGTTAAATGATTTGTATCCTTCCGTGTGCTGTGAGAAAATTTAAGTTGCCGCGTTTATCGACTTGACAAGATTTGTAAAATACAGGTTAGTAAATGATTTTAACACTCCACTCTCATGTTTACACGTGCGGTTTTAATTGTTGTAGCTCTACCTTCAATATTAAGTTTATTTTAAACGGTTTTTTTGTTCTTGTCTAAACTTATAAGAAGACGCGGTTTTTAACGATCTTAGTCGCAATTTATCGTCAGTGGAAATAAGACATCGTGTTACATATTTTGCATAGTTTATATTGAACCTTTAACATTTTTTTTCCCTGAAAAAACTAACAAACAAAAAGATAAAACCAGTCTATTGTAGACTGCTGGTTTCTGTCAACATGGTTTATTCGATGGTTTTTGAGGTGTTTTAGGCACTTGTCAATTGGCCAGACCATGGTTGACCAGATAAACCAGTTGAAGACCAGCCTGCCATATTAAGTTGGTTTAATTGTTTGTTTGTTTGTTTCAGCAGAATATAGATTAAAATTAATTCTTAAATTTTACATACATGACCTTGAATGATGCTGGCTGCAATTGGTAACATATTCGTTTGACTTGGTGTGGTTACAGCCAAACATCTGCTGAGCTGCAGCACTACCATCAGCTGGATACAATATGAGACACTTAAGATAATATTTCACAAAAACCAAGTGGTCACCATCTATCAAACTGTCAAGTAGGTGTGAAAAAAGCTGTCGTTCCATCTGATTTCCAGCACATGTGACGGCTGTATGTCAGGTTTAGCTGGCAGCTGAATAATATTGCTTTATACGAGCACGGAGATCAGATTGGAACACAGGCTGAAACAGGAGAGGTTTTCCTCTGGTAGCTCAGGGCCGCTTGGCCTCATGGGTTTTAATTACTCTACTTCCTGTTGAGGAAGCCCTTTCACCATCTCTGAGCAGTCCAACACATTTCTTTCACTGCAAATTCAAACCATCTGCATTTTTGTCTGCAGTCTTTATGTTGGCAGTGGGGCAAAGGACCAGTCAAACATGCACTTGGCTCCTTCCTCGATTGTTTCCGGAAGTTTGCACCATTCTGGATGAAACGTCCTGCGACCTTAAGCGCATGGAAGGCCCGACACGCAATCATCTGTCTTCAGATGGAAATCCTTCTCCAACACGCTATTCTTTTTCCTCCAGAACAATTTTCTCTGTGAGGAATCTCCAGTTACACGACATGCAAGCATCATTTATTGAAAAATCTGTGTTGTTTTCCCACTGTGCATTGAAGGAGTGATCAGAATATGGACTTATTTGCTTCATGCAACCTACACTCTTAAAAATAAAGGTGCTTCAAAAGGTTCTTCAAGCGATGCCATAGAAGAACCATTTTAAGTTCCACAAAGAACCATTTAGTCAAAGGTTCTTTAAAGAACCGTCTCTTTCTTACCTTTTTGTAATCTTAAGAACCTTCTTTCACCACAAAGAACCTTTTGTCAAACAGAAAGGTTCTTCAGATGTTAAAGGTTCTTTATGGAACCATTTAGACAAAAAGGTTCTTCTATGGCATCGTGAAGCACCTTTATTTTTAAGAGTGTAACTGATCGGATTCCATTCAACGAGGCATCATCCTATTCCATCTACTCTTGACTATATACAGATAGAAAAATTGACTTCCATGATGATGCTAATCATTGTGCCTGATGAAGGCAATGCTGTAATGTATAAATGTTGGAGATCTGCAGTTGCTTCATCCATATATTTCATTCATAATTGCTCGCTCATGTAGATTACGGGGCTTCCAAACCTCTGCGTTTTAGTGTATTTCTGTTTGGGTGTTTGTCAAACAGCAAGGTTCTTCAGATGTTAAAGGTTCTTTATGGAACCATTTAGACAAAAAGGTTCTTCTATGGCATCGTGAAGCACCTTTATTTTTAAGAGTGTAACTGATCGGATTCCATTCAACGAGGCATCATCCTATTCCATCTACTCTTGGCTATATACAGATAGAAAAATTGACTTCCATGATGATGCTAATCATTGTGCCTGATGAAGGCAATGCTGTAATGTATAAATGTTGGAGATCTGCAGTTGCTTCATCCATATATTTCATTCATAATTGCTCGCTCATGTAGATTACGGGGCTTCCAAACCTCTGCGTTTTAGTGTATTTCTGTTTGGGTGGAGTAAGTTTTACATACGTGGCCTTAAAAAACCATATGCATTTAATCGTGGCTGAGTTGCATCTTGTATTGCATCCCAAATGCACCTTGAAGGTCATTTACACTTGGTCCAAGTGTAGATGGATGTCTAATTTGTAAAAACGTATGAAGTGTACATGTAAATACCTCCATATTAGAGACTCTAAGGTGAGACCAAAAAAACCCCCCACTCAAAACACCTTTGCTACTGCATTGCAAAGCCCTGGCAGATGCTTTAGCATCATAGAGGTACGTTTTTCACTTACATTTACTTCAGGAAATGTAAAAAAAGGTTTTTAATGACTTTACATTATTTACAATAACTAGGGTATCTTTTATTTTGACAGAAACTGTGGTAACTGTGTTTGGATGGAAGAAAGCACGAACGATACTATCACAGGACTGGAAAAAGCACATTATATGTCCTGGAACTGGCAATTAGATGTGAGAAAATGAGTCTTTTCCTGAATGCGTCTACCTTTCTTGAAGGCTGTCAAAGCAGCGGTAGCCGGCCGCTGACTTCACTACTCACTTCCCACCTGATTTAACTTATGCTGAAGTGGCAATTGCATTTTCATAGCTCAAAACCCAAAGGTAATCTAAAGCAGAGCCCACTCCATGGACACTGCCAACGCACCACGCAAATGGCATGCGATTCCTCCACAACTCGGCTCAGATCACCAACATCAGAGGATTTTAGGGCAGTAAAGGCAAGGCAACCTGTAGTTCACTCTGACCGTTTTATCAAAACAAGCATTTGCTTGAGTCTTATAATTATAGGTTAACACACAGGGTTGGATTAAAGCATCGCTGCACAGTAATATCCTTTGAGATCTTGTTGGATTTGTGTCTGTGGATCGGTTGTGCATCAGTGACCTCGCCTGGGCTCTAAATGATACCAAATGTTGAAGTTTG